CAATATAGCTATTCTAAAACTTCGTTTGAGACACAGTCGTCTTGTTCACTAGGTAAATGGTAGTGGGAAAGTTATGTATAAGGTTTACAAATTATATGAAAAATTGGCATTTGAGATGAGAGTGGGGTGTGCTGCGTCGTTATATCCATGCACAATAATCCGAACGCTGTTAGAGGCAAGTAATACACATTTAACAAGAATTCAAATCTGTGTCCCAAATTTGTGCTATGAGCACTAAATAGGATGCCTAAATAGCATAGCAGCATCGCTGTACCGAAATCCAAATTAGAAGCTATAATTCTGTCTGCCGTTGTCGTTCAGGTCTCCGATGAATTACAGAAGTGTTCGAGTACACACAGTTTCGCGTTAAATGGAACCCCAACGTCTCAGACTGCATTAGTGTGAATTAATATTCCAGGATTGTGAAGGAAGGCAGCAAAGAAATTCGGGGCGGATCTTCGGCTGTACGGCTTTCAGGCACGACGATGTAGGACGTATTCAAGTATGAGATGAGTTTTAAATTCCTCGCCAGATCGAACCCGACAGTTCTGACTGAAAGACCGTAAATTAGTGCTACAGGATTATCAGAACGATGAGAGTTTTAGGGGGCGGATCTTCGGCTGTACTGCTTTCAGGTGCCGCGATGTGTGACGTGTGCGTGAGGAAAGATCTCGCCAAACCCCAAACCGACAGCTCTGACCGAACTACCGTGAATTGATATTCCAGGAGCGTCAGGGCGAAGAGATTTGGGGACGAGTCTTTAACCGTCCCACTTTCAGGTGCTGTGATGGATTCGACTATGACGCGTGCGTTCGAAACCTCTCACTAAATCCAGCTTTTCGACAGCTCTGACTGTAAAGGAGTGTGAATTAATATTCCAAGCCTGTCAGGGCGACACACAGCAGCTCAGAAACATTATGAATATATTTTCCAACCCTGTCAGTTTGCACTGTTGCTTTAACGAATCATGTTTTATCCTGGCTTTGAAAAAAAACACACAAGTTTGTAACGTATATCTCTTATTCGCCTCGGGTGTGTTTCATATAGTCTTATCATTGTTGTTTAATTTAAACCTTTTTTGCCGCATCATCATTTCTCTGTGCCTAATTAGCTTGTGGATGTGTGTGTATAGGACGGGTTGGTGAAGGCCAACATGGAGAAGCTGACGTTCTACGCTCTGTCTGCTCCAGAGAAGCTGGACCGAATAGGAGCCTACCTGTCTGAGAGACTGTGCCGCGATGTGGCCAGACACAGATACGGGTAGGAGAAGGGAATTTGAAACTTTTTTTTGCTTCCTTTATCCTGAAGTGCCCCACTTACTTATCCCTATCTCTCTGTCTGTCGTTGTCAGTTATGTGTGTATCGCGATGGAGGCTCTGGATCAGCTGCTGATGGCGTGCCACTGTCAGAGCATTAACCTGTTTGTGGAGAGTTTCTTAAAGATGGTGCGCAAGCTGCTGGAGGCCGACAAGCCCAACCTGCAGATACTGGGAACCAACTCGGTAAGCATTGTTTATGCTGTGTAACAAATGCTGGTTCCAAAATGATTGGCACCCCGACATCTTAGAATAGGAGCACAGCCTCTCTTTTCTGTGAAGTTTGGAGACTCGAATCCCGAGGCTCAGATGGCTGTTGAGTTGGACGTATGTTTCAGGTTATCATGCAGAATCCGTTTACATGATCCTAGGCTTGGTCCCTGGTGGTCTAGCGGGTAAGGATCCCACGCTCTCACCGCCGTGGCCTGGGTTCGATTCCCAAGTGCTGATTCCTCAGTGCTGGTCCCAAGCCCGGATAAAACGGGATAAAATTGCATCAGAAAGGGCATCCGGCGTAAAAAACCTGTGCCAAATCAATGATCCGCTGTGGCCATCCCTAATGGGAGCAGCCGAGAGAACAACAACAATTAAAAGACCTGGGATTATCAGCTGCAAAATGTGAAGATGGTTTTCCACCTACAGTATCGTAACAAGACCAATTCCTGGCTTATGTTCACTTATCCCAGAAATTGTTTTATTATTTCCATGATTGTGGTGGACAGTGGTTTTTAATTGCGTATATATATATTTTTTATGTCCGTTGCCTGGCTCGTGCAGGTTGACCTCCGCCTGGCTCTTTTGTAAAGAAAGCTCTCTGGGTTCACTCGTGGTGAGAAAACCATGAAGGCAGCTACCTCATATTTATATTGTGAGGAAACAGGCCTAGAAAAGGCAGCAGTATCGATCTATTCAATTGATCTCTAGGATATGGCTATTCGATTATTTATTTATTTATTTATTTATTTATTTCCGCAACTATTTTACCTGTAGGATGCCAATAATTTTACCACCTTAGTTTGAGTATAAAATGCTATTATTTCAGGAGGACGGTAATAAAAGAGTGAGCGGTTTCTTCAGTTTCTTTCTCAGTTTCAGTCATTGTGTATATTGTTGATTTTTATATAATTTTTATATAATTTTCCCCATTCACCATAAAGGTGCCAGTAATTTTGAACTCACATTCCCAGGCTAGTTTCAGGATCGATATTTGGACGGCTACGTGCCTCAGCCTTAAGTGAACCCGATTAGCTAGAAAAGTAATTAAAGAGAACATATGTTGATTTTATTCCACATGTTTAAAGACTTAAACGAGTGTTGAGTTCAGTGTTCGTTACAGCAATCTGTTTTCTCAGACAGGAAATTAGACAGTAAGAGTCTTTTTTTTTTTTCTTTTCCCTCCCTTGTAATCTGTTTGTCTGTATTAGTACTAAAATACAGCGTGTATCCTTATACAGACGCAAAAGGACGTCAAATATCACGTAATGCAACATAAATTAAAAAATACCATTAGCTGCTTATACAGTATTCAGCATGTTTCCTGTCTTTAAATTCATATTTCTTTGGCTTTGTTTTTCAAGACCAGTTGGTACAGTGTCAACCATTTCTGTTGTGCCTTCAGGGGGAACGGATGGTTCTCGATCAGGTTTAATTTGGAAGAAAATGTCACTGCATTACATTTTAACCTTTGGCATTTTTGCATAATGATGACATGCTGTGTGTCGATGGAGAGAAATCATCGCCCCTCAGCAAACGCCTCTGGTTTTTTATTTGTCCGCTTTGATTTTCTTCTCACTTTTACGTTTGTCTTTCCTCAGTTTGTCAAGTTCGCCAACATCGAAGAGGACACGCCCTCGTACCACCGCAGTTATGATTTCTTTGTGTCACGCTTTAGTGAGATGTGCCACTCCAACTTTGAGGATCCGGATATCCGCACCAAGTGAGAAAATAGAGCACTTTACAACCATCCAGAGAAATGTTTTCTCATACTCAAGGAATCGAAATAAAATAATCGAAGATGAAATGCTGAAATGTTGGATTGGCATAGAATTTAATGCATTATGAATGTTTTTTTTTTCCCCCCTTCCCCTCAATGCCCATGAAAACTATCTGCAATCTCTCATTGCGTTTCATAGCATCATGTGATTTGCCTTTTGCAGTCGCCATATTTGGGATTGAATTTCCGGCTTCGCTGCACAATGCGAACATAATTATGGGTGATATACGGCTAAAAGTCTTCACCTCTGAAGAGAATAAACAGCACTTCAACCAAGCTGATAAAAAAAAAAAAACAAAAAAAACAAAACATATCCTTATTCACTTTCTCCAAACTGCTGAGTCCTACAACATGCGCTAGGCTTTTCTTGTCTGCATATTTTCAGCTCTGCATATTTAGTGACCTCACAAACCGATCCCTGAATATGTTTTATATGGAAAAAAAACTGACAAAGTATCTGTTTTAAATTGAAAAAAAATGGGACCCAAATACCGACCTACAGTATATCATCAGAATCAGCAAGAGACGTTAACCATTTAGTTGCTGAGCTCGAGTTGCTGTTATATTGCTATGGTATTGAAAACGGAAAGATTTCTCAGCCAGTTTGTTGTCGCAGACTAAAACTGCACATCATAAAAGAATCCTGTGATCGGAGCCGTGTTGCACTTCAGCGTCCGTCCATCTATCGCTGTTCTCCATACTTGCACAATAAGTCGACACTACAGTATGTTTACATGGCGTTTTAAATCATCGCGGGTGAGGGCGTTTTCGTACGCGTTTGGCCAGTCAGCGTCTACTTACGTCACGGATAGTACCAGTCGTGCTGGTTAGACCCTGCTCCGGAGTAGGAGCTAATCTGGTTCTCGAAAACGGCAGTCCGGTGCTAAAATCACACCCAGTTCCGGAGGTGCGAAAACGCCAAAAAGTGGGTAGTTCCACAATTAGTTCAGGTACTATGAAAAGGTTCCCACGGTGCGAAAGGCCCTAATGACAGCCAATGTCAAGGTTCGTGAAGTGAGAGAGATTTTTTTTTTTTGATTAAGATCACAGTGTGTGAGCGCTGCTCGGACGCTTCGTCTAAAAAGCCACCGATCAGATGACTCGAAACCATGGGACATCTACAAATACTGTAAAGGTGATGGTGAAACCTAAAAAATAACCAATAACAAATAGAAAATGATCCTTATTACGTCAGACTCACTTTGAAGAACGTTAGTGCCGATGCGAGCCCGAGCGCGGATCACGCTGATTGACGTCGTAAGCAGAACGTAGTAATTTCCCTTAATCACAGGCCTATCATTGGAGTAGCTTCATTGTATAATTTAACAGGGAAAACGTGTTACTGTTACAGATTTGATTAGGATCCTGTCATATCGTGTGACAAGTAATAATCTTACAAGACTGCTGAAGTCGCGCTGTCTGAGACTGGCTTCCGTTCATGACGATCGATGACTTTTGGATCATTTCTGACTTTCCGAATGTCTCCGTGTCTCAGAATCCGCATGGCTGGTATAAAAGGACTGCAGGGAGTGGTGAGGAAGACCGTCAACGATGAACTGCAGGCGAACATCTGGGATCCGCAGCACATGGACAAGATTGTACCCTCTCTGCTGTTTAACCTGCAGACTGGAGAAGGCACGGAGAGGTGAGAGCAGCTCGGTCATGTCTTATAGCTGTTCCTTAAAGGAAGAAAAAATTGATTTGTAGGTGACTTTCTTTCATTTAAACTTCTTTCATCAACACGTTGGTCTGCTTTCACTGTGTTTAAAGGTTTCCCGCACTACCCTCAATGCTGTTCTACCCGCTGATAGCGGCGCAGCGGGATTTAGTTCTTGCTTCATCTCTGTGCGGTGGCGCTTTAGTCCTCCCAGCTCTCTCATCTGCTCAAACTGTTCAGCTTCCAAAGCCTCAGCGGTCATGCTAAAATCGCGCTCGTCATCTCCTCCATCTGTAACTAGCCGAGCCGAGTTTTTGACGTAACTCAGCATCATATAGCTGCATTGCGTTCTGGGACATTGTGTCCAGTGTTGCTGGATTTCTCATTAATATGCGAAACGAAGCTCTTTCTTCCCCTTTGGGAGCTAACAGTGAAACTGTTACCACTTATGTTGAAATTTTAAACGGCATTGTAACTGCGCTAGCAATAACAGTCTCGCCCTGTGACGACACACAGCCGCTGACTTCTCACAGGAATAATGACAATACAGCACCAATCAATAAATCGGCACCAGAATCGCTGAACTCATCATAAATATTTCAGTATAAACATTTTAAATGCGCTTCAGAGTGGAAAGTTCTGGTAAGTAGTTGGTATGAGAGAGTTCCCGAGAGAGTGTGGGTCAGTTTTGTGGTCTTGTGCTGATGTACTGATGCACAGCGCAGATGGAGGTTTGGCTCTTTCCTCCCATGTTCGCTCTCCTGCTGCGTTTCCCCCGTCGATGTGACCACTGACAGGCCTAATTACAGCACTGGAGGAGACGTTAATTACTCCTATTCTGCTGTTTGAAGTGCTAATTGGCGCTTACTGTAAATGGCAGCTTATTATTACCTCCCCCTCGACCGTCATTATCGGGAGACCCGAGGACAGAATAAGTGAGAGTTCACTTCACTGACTTGTTTCTCAGGCACTTTTTTCTCACACGCTCACTTCAGTGAACAAAGCGTGTTTTTCTGTCTGACCTACTTACCAGTTAAAATCGCCGCCTACTGTTTAGATTCGGACGTCTTTCTTTTTTTTTTATTTTTTACCTGCATTACTGCCAGCTGACTGGAGCAAATCTTAAATAACCAGATTCGCCTTTTAAACTGTGCGTCATCAAATGCTGAAAGCCTCCGAGGAGTCAATAAGAATTGTTCCCTATGTGCCATTCTTTAATATGACGTATTCCACAGCGCTGGTCTCGATTCTGATTGGACAGGAGATCTTGATAACAGCAGCTCGGACAGTGGCGCAGCCGCAAATCACTTTAATAGGAACAGCTGTACATCTGCTCAATTATACAGTTTTCTAATCAGCCAATCATGTAGCAGCAGCAGCACAATGCATAAAAACATGCAGGTACAGGTCAAGAGCTCCAAGGTTTGATGTGTCGCGCGTTCTGAGATGCTTTTCTGCTCACCACGGTTGTAAAGAGTGCTTATTTAAGCTACTATAGACTTCCCGTCAGATCAAACCAGTCTGGTCATTCTCCTCTGATCTCTCTCATCAGCAAGGTGTTTCAGCCTGCAGATCCTCCACACACAGGATGTCTTTTGTTTTCCGCATCATTCTGCGTAAACTCTAGAGACTGTTGTGTGTGAAAATCCCAGGAGATCAGCAGTTTCTGAAATACTCACACCAGCCCATCTGACACCAACATCCATGCTACGGTTAAAGTCACAGAGATCACACTTTTTCTTCATTCTGATGTTTGACGTGAACATTAACTGAAGCTCTTGACCTGCATCTGCATGATTT